ATCACCCATGGTAAACATCAACGAGACTTGCTTTAGGTTCTCAGTATAGAAAGAGGGTATGTGATGAAATCAGTAGCAAGAAACAAAGAAGACTTGCTTTAGTGCCTTGAGGCCCATTGAGATAAAATGTAAAGGATTTTGATACCAATTTCTAAGTTGGGCCTACAATTTAATTAGCCCTTAAAAGATTTGTAGAAAATTCTCACGCGAAATCTTAGCGATTAAAGCACACGCGCTTCGGTAGTGAAGTGAAGTCAAAATCCCTAACTTTTGTCCTCTGCTGTCGGAAAAGGATCCAGAGGTTGATCAATATCGCCAATGTCGTCCCCAGAGAAGAAGAGGAAGAGGAGGAAGACGACGAAGAAGCCATCGCCGCCGCCGCAATCGACGACCCCAAATCCTTCACTTCCCGATGATTTGGTATTGAGCTGCTTAGCACGTGTCTCGAGATTGGACTACCCAACTCTTTCCCTCGTCTCCAAGAGTTTCCGCTCGCTCGTTGCTTCACCGGAGCTTTACAAGACCCGTTCCTCTTTAGGCCGCACCGAGAGTTGTCTCTATGTGTGTTTAGAGGAGAAAGATTCTGACCCTAACCCTCGTTGGTTCACTCTCTGCCGGAAACCTAATCGAACTCTAACCAATGACATCACTGAGAAGAAGAGGAAGAAGAAGTCAAGTGGGTATGCTTTGGCTGCAATCCCAGTTCTCCATTCTCGTCCTGCGCAGTGGTCGGGTCTCGTTGCCGTTGGTTCTAATATCTACAACATTGGCGGACCCATCGACAAAGCACACTCCTCTATCGTCTCGATCCTGGACTGCCAGTCTCATACGTGGCGCGAGGCTCCAAGCATGCGAGTAGAGCGGGATTATCCAGCCGCCAATGTTCTTGATGGAAAGATATATGTAACAGGAGGCTGCAACGACTGCAGCAATGCATCCAACTGGATGGAGGTTTTCGATCCTAAAACCCAAACTTGGGAGCCTGTCTCCAGCCCTGGTGCGGAGATTGGTGGTTGTAGCATACATAAAAGCGCAGTGGTTGAAGGAGAAATCTTCTTTGCAAACTCTAAAGGTTTGGTTTACGAACCCAAGGAAGGTAGATGGAAAAGGATGGGATGGGAGATGGATTCGGTCGATTGGGTATGGTATTCTTATTGCGTTGTTGAGAACGTGCTTTACAATTATTACTGCGGAGAGTTCAAATGGTATGACACTAAGGCAAGAATCTGGAGAAATTTGAAGGGTGTGAAAGGACTGCCCAGGTTTGCCAGAGGTGGTGGAAAGATGGTGGATTATGGTGGAAAGATGGCGGTTTTCTGGGACAAGATTGTGACATCCGATGGATGTAAGAACAAGATGATTTTGTGTGCGGTGATTGCTCTTGAAAGGCGCAACAGCGAAGAGATTTGGGGGAAGGTTGAGTGGCATGACACAGTTCTTACCGTTCCCTTGTCATACAAAGTCGTGTATGCTCTTTCCCCTACCGTTTGATGAGACAGACTTGAATGAATGTGGTGAATCTTTATTATTTGTGTATTGTATCATTTTGTTGGATGGTTGTGTCTCGTGTTTTTAGCTGAATGCTATAGACATCATTTCACTTGTAAACTTTTGCTGCTAAAGACCTATGTGACACTGTTTTGGTTGAATAGTTTTGATCGTAGAGTTTTTGGTCGTTCTGTTTCTTGATGACTCACGGATGAATAGAAAATTGGGCTTCTTCTTACCATCTAATTAGAAAATGCAAATTACTCCTTTTCCTTCTTTTTGCTCAAGAGGAAAAGAAGACAATGTGATGAAACAGAGTATTATTCATTTCTATACACAATAGAAAAAACTAGGCACAAATAAGCTGAACGCGTAAATTCATGAGATGTTGCACGGAAACATATCATTCTGGAACTAGAGGCCACCACCTGGTCTAGCCATACCGTCTTCTTTGTCTAAATAGCTCTGAACTTGCTCAAAGGCCTGATGATGAATTACGCAGTTGAGCTTTCATTAAACAATTGAACTCCAATGTACACACCTGAATAGGAACAGAGAGATTCTGAGACTTACCTCCATGGCGATTTCAGTTGGTGTAAGATCTGAGACACTTCTATAACCGAGCTTTAATGTAATATCTGAACAATTCGAGTAAACTAGTCACAAATCAATATGGCTGAGATTGTGTAAAGCTATAGAACGTGAAAGTGGAAAGGATCATACTCTCCAAGGAAACTCTTGCGCTGGCGTTAGTGTATGCTTCACCACGTGCATCCCAAATCGTTGAAAGACGGTTTAAAGCCTATGTGAAGTCACAAATGATCAGAAGCACATAGAAAGATTAAAGTTACTTAACAATGGTAGCACTACCGCTGTGTATGTGTCTCCTGACTCATCATCATGTAACAATGGTCTTGAACCAGTTCCTACAGCAGCGATTCTATGCGCCAACGCTTCTAGAGGTACATCAAGCCAAATGCTAATACCTTTATGCATGTACTTCCTGAATACAAAATTGGACACATTATTACCAAATGATCCGAGATTTATATCATAGATCATTGATGAGAAGAAAACGCACCAATTGATGGGTCGTATTACTGCCCCTCCCCCGGTTGAAACAACAACTTGGTTGTATATCAAAGAGAGTTTCTTTAAAGCTTCCGTCTAGGAATAAAGCATGTGATAAAATGAGCAACTAGACTACACAAAGAAAGGCTGGAGAAAAGCTCAATACAATAGGACTTAGGGGAGAAGTGCATAAAACCAACCTCTTTTTCTCTGAAGACACTCTCGCCGAAATGCTCAAATATCTCAGCTACAGAAGTTCCATTCATACCCTGCTCGATCAAAGTATCACTGGCACATTTACGAAACAATGTTTAAGCTCAGCTAAAATTCAACAGACACGAAGTTGAAAATGGGCAGATAATATACCAATCAAAGAATGTATAACCAAGTGCTCTTGCCATTATCTTCCCTACAGTCGTCTTCCCGGAACCCATCATTCCTAACGCATTCACGAGGAAACTGTTATATTACCAGGACAAACGAGAATCTAAACAATACTCAAATAAGGATATGAGACATAGACACTGACCAACAAGATACATAGATCGTCCATTTAAATATGGTTTAACCTCTTCAGCTTTTTTCTGCAAAAGCTAACGAAATCCACTGTCAACACAAGATATATATAGGAGCAAGATAGAAGATTACAAAACAACATCTTAATCCATTTCTTGATGTAATAGAAGAGTATTAACTTGCCTTCAAAATCTGTTCTTCATCAAGTGGAGAGTGAAGAAGACTTCCAGTATCCAACAATGCTACAAAATTTAAAAAATGGAGGAAACAAATCTCCTTGTCATCAAAATAGACACAATCAAAATCATATCGAAAGATTCATGCTTTTTGTTAGAACCTGAGGAGTTCTTATCAGAAACTGATCTAAGTCGATGATCCCTTCTTTTGTCAAGAGCTAAAGCAACAACTCTAAACCTTTTATCTTCCTTAATTCGCTGTGTATACCTCAAAGAACCACGAGTCTTTCCTTCAAAATTTCTCAAATCAGTCCATGATGAGTACTGGAACCTCTGAACAGTAGCTGCTTCCATATTCTGCAAATGCACAATACAAGAATTCAGCAAAATCTATTACTCATCTTCAAGGCCAAATAGCATCATCAATGGAACCATTTCCTTTAAGCTAGAAAAATGGATTTAAAATGAAAACACAATTTTCTGAAGTTGACACTTTTGAAGAAACTTTGTGAATAAATAATTAAAAAAAGAAAGAGATTAAAGGGCTAAACAACTCCAAATTCTGACAATCCAAAGACAAATGAAATCGGAGAATGTATAAAGGTTTCACCTTTTTCCCGACGGCGGAGCTTGAGAGGCAGAGACTCTCTTTCTCTCTCTCTCTCAACTTACGCTTTTCCTATTGGCGTAAAATAGTTTTTGGATTTATGAATTTATATTCTCTGGCATTGTAAAATCTGAATTAAACGAATTTATCTGTTAGGGGTTGGTGAAATTTCCTAAATTATCTGTTAATTACTTGATGCTAATAAGACAATTACAAGTCCAAAATAAAATGTTAGTGGAAAAAGTGTAACGTGTTTTAAAACTAGGGGGTGTTATTGGTTTATTAATTTGTAAATCCATATAGAATTTGAAAATCTCTATTAATTATGAAATCAAGATATATGGATTTTGAAATAACATGTGTTTACCCATGAATTTGAATCCTTCTATTTTTCTCTTTCAATTCCATTCAAATCCATTTAAAACATAATTTGGATTCTCAAATCCAAAAACAAATGACTAAACGAATAACAAAGGATTTTATCTAGTATTTATAATTCATAGAACCAATAACACATGATTTTAATTAGGATTTTAAAATCAATGATTGAATAACAAATAATTTTTGTTTGGATTTCTAATTCCTTATAAATCCATGAACCAATAACCCCTCCTAAAAAATCTTCTTGCTTAGGATATGTGACAACTGTCCATATTGTGAGTATCTCAAATGATCTTGATTCGTATTCTTTCCAATGATTATAGATTTAAATAGATAGAATTTCTATGTAAGAAAATGATAAAATTCCCATGTAAAAAGGATAGAATTTCTAAAGGATATATATAGAACATATTTACTATTTTACAAATTTTAAGATTTATTAGTAGAATGATGTATAAAATAAGAATATTTTGTGTCGTCTAAAATAGGAATATTGAGAAAATGTAATTTGGTAGGTCAAACGTGGAATTAAAATTCAATTTATGTTGCTAAAGGATGGCCCACCGAATATACATGTCGGGCCATCAAAATCTACCGTTCTTGTTTTTCGACCAACCAACCAAAAAACTTAAATCATTCGGGCCGATATCATCAGACTCCTGTCGTTTCGATGTTCGGTAGTATAACTGTTTGCCGTTTTTATTTATCAGTTCCACCATTTTTTCCTTGCTTATGAGAAAACGGCAGAATGTTTATTCGTCACAGCATGCACTGTTCTTCTCTCTCAGAAGGATGAGAAGCTACGGCAGTTGGCGTAAAGTCCAAGAAACGTTACGTTTATACTCTTCGTCTTCTTCTACTTCTTCAGGTCTTTTGGAATTTGTAAACGCAGATTTTCCTTCTACAATAAGATTTCGAGGAAGACGCGAATTTGCTCGTCTCTTGCAGCTGCGTGCGTTAGATGATCCGTTGCTTTATCAAAATGTAGTTCATGGTCAGATTATTGTTTCGGGTCTTGAGTTAGATACGTATCTTAGCAACATTTTGATGAATTTATATTCGAGAGCTGGCGGCATGGTTTATGCACGTAAGGTGTTTGAGAAAATGCCTGAGAGAAACTTGGTTACTTGGTCTACCATGGTTTCAGCTTGCAACCATCATGGGTTTTATGAGGAGTCTTTGGTGGTTTTCTTAGAGTTCTGGAGAACTAGAAAAAACAGTCCGAATGAATATATTTTGTCGAGTTTTATTCAAGCTTGTTCGGGATTAGATGGTAGTGTGCGTTGGATGGTGTTTCAACTGCAAAGTTTTCTTGTCAAGAGTAGGTTTGATAGGGATGTTTATGTTGGTACCTTGTTGATTGATTTTTATTTAAAGGAAGGTAATATCGATTATGCGAGGCTTGTGTTTGATGCTTTACCAGAGAAATCTACTGTGACTTGGACGACAATGATCAGTGGGTGTGTAAAAATGGGAAGAAGCTACGTTTCATTACAGCTATTCTACCAACTAATGGAAGGAAATGTTGTTCCGGATGGTTACATCCTTTCGACGGTTTTAAGTGCGTGTTCAATACTTCCGTTTCTTGAAGGCGGGAAGCAGATTCATGCGCACATCTTAAGATACGGACATGAGCTGGATGCTTCGCTGATGAATGTGCTTATAGATTCTTATGTGAAGTGTGGCAGAGTTAGAGCGGCTCATAAGCTATTCGATGGAATGCCAAATAAAAACATCATTTCGTGGACCACTTTGCTGTCTGGTTATAAGCAGAACTCTCTTCATAATGAAGCCATGGAATTGTTTACCAGTATGCCAAAGTTTGGTTTAAAGCCGGATATGTTTGCTTGCTCTAGCATACTCACATCTTGTGCCTCACTTCATGCTTTGGAATTTGGAACACAAGTTCATGCTTACACTATCAAAGCCAATCTTGGCAATGATAGCTATGTGACTAACAGCTTGATTGACATGTATGCGAAATGTGATTGTTTGACTGAGGCCAGAAAAGTTTTTGATATTTTCGCTGCTGATGATGTGGTTTTATTCAATGCAATGATTGAAGGTTACTCGAGACTTGGGACTCAATGGGAACTACATGACGCATTGAACATCTTTCATGATATGAGGTTCAGATTGATTCGACCTAGCCTATTGACTTTTGTTAGTCTTCTACGTGCATCTGCTTCTTTAACAAGCTTGGGACTGAGTAAACAAATCCATGGATTGATGTTCAAATATGGGTTAAACTTGGATATATTTGCTGGAAGCGCTTTGATTGATGTTTACTCAAATTGCTACTGTCTCAAGGATTCTAGGCTTGTGTTTGATGAAATGAAAGTGAAAGATCTTGTTATCTGGAATTCTATGTTTTCAGGTTATGTTCAACAATCAGAGAACGAAGAAGCTCTCAACCTGTTTCTGGAATTACAGTTATCAAGAGAAAGACCTGACGAATTTACTTTTGCCGACATGGTTACAGCAGCTGGCAACCTAGCAAGTCTTCAATTGGGTCAAGAGTTCCATTGCCAGCTCCTGAAAAGAGGCTTGGAATGTAATCCGTATATTACAAATGCTCTACTAGATATGTACGCCAAATGTGGTAGTCCCGAAGACGCTCATAAGGCTTTTGATTCAGCAGCTTCAAGAGATGTGGTTTGTTGGAATTCTGTCATCTCATCTTATGCGAATCATGGAGAAGGCAGAAAAGCTCTTCAGATGCTTGAAAAAATGATGTGTGAGGGAATAGAGCCTAACTACATCACCTTTGTGGGAGTTCTATCAGCTTGTAGCCATGCTGGTCTTGTAGAAGATGGACTTAAGCAATTTGAGTTAATGCTTCGATTTGGAATTGAACCTGAAACTGAGCACTATGTTTGTATGGTATCTCTTTTAGGCCGTGCTGGTAGATTAAACGAAGCAAGGGAGTTAATTGAGAAAATGCCGACAAAACCAGCTGCTATAGTATGGAGGAGCTTACTAAGCGGATGCGCAAAGGCCGGTAATGTCGAGTTAGCTGAGTATGCTGCTGAAATGGCTATTTTGTCTGATCCAAAGGACAGTGGATCGTTTACTTTGCTTTCTAATATTTACGCGTCCAAGGGTATGTGGACTGAAGCGAAGAAGGTAAGAGAAAGAATGAAGTTTGAAGGTGTGGTGAAAGAACCTGGACGTAGTTGGATTGAGATTAATAAGGAGGTTCATATCTTTTTGTCTAAGGATAAATCTCACTGCAAGGCTAATCAAATTTATGAAGTGTTAGACGACTTGCTTGTGCAAATCAGAGGAGTTAGTTAATTACCATACAAGAACTCATTTTCTATTGGAGTGATTGACTCGATTTGGTTAAAGACCAAAGCACTCAGATTTGTCTGGAATTCGGATAGGTGATCCGAAAGAGGTATCAGCTTGATTGGATCATTGAAACAAGAGTCATGTCTCTATGTTAATGGAGTTGCAGGAGATGAAGCTTATCAAGGATGGTAAAAGAAGATGATGTAAACTTCTTACAATCAGAAGCAAAAACAGTAAGACCAGACTGTGATGTTGGAATCATTCTCTTCTCCCAAAGATTGAACCAGAGATTGAGAAGCCTAGCAAGCAAATGATACGAGTTAAAGGCGAGCCAAAGAAGAAAGAGTAAGCCATGGTTAATCTCGAGAAGAAGCTGAAGAATATCACAAGAGACTAAGAGAGCAAAGATGCCACATATTTATTTTTTGTAATCAACGGAAAAATCGGTTCGGTTCAAATCCAAAAGAAAAAGAAGACTCAAAATTGACCCCGGTTCAGTTCTTAGTTTCCTCTCATCACATAAACCGTTTTAAGGTTATAAACCGGGTTGAAGGAGAAGTTGTAATGGTGAATGGTATGTTGTATATGATTCATTTGAATTTGATTAAACCGATTTTGAAATCAACTAAACCCGAAAACACCAACTCAAAACAGGGTTTATATAACCAAACTAGTTTTTCGAATTCTAATTCTGTTCTAATTTTTCTTAAACCGGAAACCAAATCGGACATAAATGGGCCTAAGATGTAGTTGGGTCAGGCCGAATTCTAGACAATTCTGTTCTAGTTTTCTCTTTTGTCGTAATCAGGTGGCAAAACGAAAACCCTCGGATTCCTCTGCTTCCTTCTCGTCCGTCGTCACTTTCTCTACATCAGAGAGATTCCGGTGTCCTTCTTCCTTTCAGTCGCGTTTAACCTCTTTGCCGTGACGTTGTCTCCGTGAGCTCTCTCTGCTTTGACTGCAACCATGTCGACTATTATGCAGAAGATCAAAGAAATTGAAGATGAGGTAATTTTTCAGTAATCCTCCTCTGATTCTTCAATTTTGGATGCATAGAACTGTGAATCCGAAATATCTATTCTGAATCAAAGAAATGATGAATTGTTTTTTTTTCTTTTTAATCTGGGTGACTCACAAGTACGAGGGATTTTGTTTATGTGGCAGATGGCTAAAACACAGAAGAATAAAGCTACTTCTCATCATCTGGGTTTGTTAAAGGTAATATTTTCTCCTTAAGAGTTATTGAATTTTCCAGCTAGGTTAGAATTTTGTTGTTTCTGAGTACTTGGAATCGTTTTTTTGTAGCTTTGAGAGTGAGGTTGAATGTTTGAGGTGTTTATGCTTATCAAATGCAAATTTTGGTTGATTGATTTATATCTGTTTTGATTGAATCTTTATGAAATCTCAACCAGTTAAGAAATATTGTTAACTTCTGGTTGAAATCGTTATGTTTTATATGAACTCCCAAATCATGGAACAAGTAGAAGGATGAAATATTTATCTACGGCTTGATCTCTTGAGAAGTTCCTTGGATCAACAATTTTTGTTAATACCAAATAACGTAGTGCGGATCATTTCATGGACCTTAAGAGTGATAGATGAGAGAGAGCTAAAAACTAGTAGGTAGGGAAGATGTATTATTCCATATCGATATAAGAATTTGGTAATGGTAGCTTCTCTTTAAATTTCATTGGAACATTTTGCAGGCCAAACTTGCTAAGCTACGGAGGGACCTTCTTGCACCGCCTACCAAAGGTGGCGGTGGTGGTGCTGGTGAAGGTTTTGATGTGACTAAAAGTGGAGATTCTAGAGTTGGACTCGTTGGGTTTCCTTCGGTTGGAAAATCTACGCTATTGAACAAGCTGACTGGGACATTTTCTGAGGTTTGTTGTTATTGTTAAGTAGATTGAATTTCCTTTTTTTCTTGTTGCGATTGGAATTTTGAAACCTACGACGTATCCAAGTGATCCTATTTCTAGTTACTTTTTGACAAAAAAATCTTGTGCAATATCACTTATAAGGCAAGACTGATTGACGCTAGTCTTGTCTTGGATAGATGAACATAATTCTTGGAATTAGAACTGTACTTTGGCTGATACTCTATTTCTGAAGACACATGCACTATGTTTTTTCAGGTTGCTTCTTATGAGTTCACGACTTTGACATGCATTCCTGGTGTTATTACATATCGTGGAGCTAAAATCCAGGTATGCTATCGACATCTATGCGTCTGTTGTTTTGTGGAGAAAGAAATGATGATTCTTGATCTTCCAATTGTTTCCTATGTCTTGGTCATTTGTGAAAAACAATTAAATCCTTGGCTTTATATATGCCATGTGCTAGCCTGTAATTCTGTTTCCTCGAGTCTCACTTTTATATGTAACAAATATTTTGCTTGATCTTTTGATGACTTCTTGGTGCTTAGTTTAAGCTCAGAACGACATGTAACTATTCATTGGACATTGATGCTAATACTCTTCTATGTCCCCTTTTATGGGTTTGCAGTTACTAGATCTTCCTGGTATTATTGAGGGTGCTAAAGACGGAAAAGGTAGAGGAAGACAGGTAAGTCGTGTTTAAATCTCTTAAGTATTTATATTTTGACCCTCGTTGATCATGTTTGACACTTAACTATTTCCAGGTTATAAGTACTGCTAGGACATGCAACTGCATCTTAATAGTTCTTGATGCCATCAAACCAATTACTCACAAACGTCTCATTGAAAAAGAGCTCGAAGGATTCGGAATAAGGTATAGATTGCTTATATAACAACCTTTATACACTGTATATTTGATCGTTTCTGGTACATAGTCTGACTCGATCGTGGACTGATGCTATGTAGGTTGAACAAGGAGCCACCAAATTTAACATTTAGGAAAAAAGACAAAGGTGGTATCAATCTAACTTCTACAGTCGCTGTCACACACCTTGACCTCGACACAGTCAAGGCGATTTGCGGTGAGTACAGGATTCACAACGCTGACATCACCCTGCGCTACGATGCAACCGCTGATGACCTCATTGATGTCATCGAGGGCAGTCGGATATATATGCCCTGTATCTATGCTGTCAACAAGATCGATTCAATCACACTTGAGGAACTTGAAATTTTGGACAAACTTCCTCATTACTGTCCTGTCAGGTAAATGTTGTTAATTTTCTGGGAGGGGATTCTCGATAACTTTATTTATTTTTGCCATTGAGATATATAATAATCTTGCAGTGCGCATCTGGAGTGGAATCTTGACGGTCTTCTGGACAAGATATGGGAATACCTGGATCTAACTCGAATCTACACAAAACCGAAGGCAATGAATCCGGATTATGATGATCCCGTTATCTTATCTTCCAAGAAGAGAACAGTAGAGGACTTCTGCATCCGGATTCACAAAGACATGCTTAAACAATTCAAGTAGTAAGTAATTAAAAACTTATTATTGTTCTGTTTCGCTGTTATATGGCTTCTTCCTCAAAAGCATCGCTCATGAGTAGTATTTAACTTATGATCTCCTGATGCAGCGCTCTGGTTTGGGGTTCGAGTGCCAAACACAAGCCACAAAGAGTTGGAAAGGTTAGTCTTCCATACTAACTAACGATTGAAATATCCCTGACTAAACTAACTATTGCTGTCATGACATCGTATTTTATGTATGGAAACACTTCAGGAACATGAGCTCGAGGATGAGGATGTTGTTCAGATCGTTAAAAAGATATGATTTTCGCAGATAATGGAGAGAGAAGTCAAGAGACCAACCAAAGTAGCCATAATGAGATCTCTCTATAGAAAGGTTAGGATTTCTTTTGGTTTCTCAGCTTATCTTATGTATTGTATTATTATATCCAGACGAAATCTGCACCTTTTTTTTTTTTTTGGTCTTATTGGATACTTTTGTCTTCTTCCAATTATATCATGTGATTGATGTTGTCGCCTTGCCGGAACCCCTCCTTGTTATCTCGAATATGGGTTTTGCCTGGATTTTCTCCTCCCTTGTTTTTATGAATGGAACTAGACTAATTTTTTTAAAAATTAGATTCTAATACAAAATATAAAAATGATTCAATTTTTCTTCATGTGTATCAAAAAGAAAACTGTTAAAACGGCCTTCATTGCAGTGACAAGGTATAGGTGTTCTCTGACAGTTAGTTGTTTGTTTTGTCATTAAATATTAATTTAAAGATTATGGTTACTTCGACTGTTCATTAGATTTAATGACATTAAAAGACTTGGAAAACTATTACAACGACCTTCGTTGCAGTGACTGGGACCGTGAATTCTGATGTACTTCTCGATTTGTCTAACCTCTTAAATTGGTTGTCATTTTGGGTCTGAAATTGTAAGATTATGGACCCTTCTTTAGAAATCCTCCACCAATTCATTTGTGTGGTTAGTAGCTACACCAGCTTAACATTGTGCGGAGATAAGAGGACTAATTTTAAGATATGAAATAAATGCATTGGTAACTTTTTTTTTTAAAATGCATATGTAATCACCGTACTCTATACTTTATAAACAAGTTACTTCAACACACAAAGGAACCATCACCATATAGTGTCTGTAAAATCAAGCTCCTAACCTTCTCATATGGCTTCTATAAGCTTACTTGACGCTTCCATAGCCATTATTTGCTTTCTCTTCTTCCATTTCTTCTTCTTCAAAAAACCTCATGATCAGGTTTTTCGAAACTGGCCGGTTATTGGGATGATTGGCTACCTGATGGTTCTCCACCGCATCTACAACTTCGGCGTGGAGGCTCTTGAAATCAGCCACTTAACCTTTCCATTTAAGGGACCGTGGTTCGCTGGAATGGATATGTTGTTCACAGTTGATCCAGCTAATATTCACTACATATTGAGCTCAAACTTCTCCAATTACACCAAAGGTGCCGACTTTAAAGAAGTCTTTGATGTTTTTGGAGAAATGATCTTTAGTTCGGACTCGGAGCTATGGAAGAATCAAAGAAAAGCTGCTCAGTTCATGCTTAACCATCACGAGTTTCAAAAGCTTTCAATGAGTGCAACGAGGACTAAACTTTACGACGGTCTTGTTCCTCTTTTCAATCAATATTGCGAGGAAGAGAAGGTCGTGGATTTGCAGCAAGTGTTTCAAAGGTTCACTTTTGACACAACTTTTTTTCTCGTTACGGGGTCTGATCCTAAATCTCTCTCTATTGAAATGCCGGAAGTTGAGTATGCTAAAGCTCTTGACGATCTTGGACAAGGGATTTTTTATAGGCACATTAAACCGAAGTTCTTGTGGAAGCTGCAAAACCGGTTTGGGTTAGGACAAGAGAAGAGGATGACCGAAGCTGATGCCACTTTTGATCGCGTTTCAGCGAAATACATATCAGCTAAGAGAGAAGAGATAAGATCACAAGGGATTGATCATCATTCAAATGGTGAAAGTGAGGATCTTTTGACATCTCACATAAAGCTTGATACGACCAAGTACGAGCTCTTGAACCCGAGTGATGATAAGTTCCTCAGAGACACCATCTTAGCTTTCAATCTAGCTGGGAGAGACGCAATGTCTGCTGCTCTCTCTTGGTTCTTTTGGCTTCTCTCTGAAAACCCTCAAGTTGTAACAAAGATTCGTAAAGAGATGAACAACAAAAATATTTCAAAAGACGGAAGAAATGGCCAAGAGAACTTAGACAAGTTGGTCTACTTACATGCCGCCTTGTATGAATCAATGAGGCTCTATCCACCGGTTGCCTTCCAACGCAAATCTCCTATAAAACCAGATTTGCTTCCAAGTGGGCATAAGGTAGATGCAAACTCAGTCATCATAATCTTTCTTTACGGGTTGGGAAGGATGAGAGCGGTTTGGGGAGAAGATGCAACAGAGTTCAAGCCAGAGAGATGGGTTTCTGAGACCGGTGGGTTGAGACATGCGCCTTCCTTCAAGTTCTTAGCGTTTAACGCCGGTCCGAGAACTTGTCCTGGTAAGCAATTAGCTATGACTCTCATGAAGACAGTAGTTGTGGAGATATTACAAAACTATGATATTAAGGTTATCAAAGGACAGAAGATTGAGCCAGAACCTGGTCTTATGTTGCACATGAAGCATGGGCTTAAAGTCACAATTACTAAGAGATGTTCAGCTTGAAATTTATATGTATAACGCCTTAGTTTATCCTTTTTTCGTTGGAATTATAAGAAAGCCTCGTATTTTTCAATAATGAAACGAAACATGCTTTCTATCTTTGATGAGATGTTATAATTTGTAACGAATGCAAGTCGTTGTGGTAATAAAAATGTTTAATTATATATGTGAATCCACTCTAATGGCCTCAATAAGCTTAATTACCTTAATTAGATGATAAAGTTAGAAACGGAAAAAAGTTAGGTGTATAGATAATTTAATACTATTTTCTAATCTTATGTATACATTAACTATAGATAATTTATTACTATTTTCTAATCTTATGTATACATTAACTGTGCCTTGCAGTGTGTGCATATAACAAAATCTAGTGTATTTTAAGCAAAAATCCTTAATTGTTGTGCCTTGAAGTGTGTGATATAAATCCAGTTCCTTCTGCTAGTAAAGTAACCATCACAATGTATGTGTGTGTGTTAATCAAGCGCCTTACTCCAATGGCTTCAATAAGCTTTCTTGAAGCTTCCATAGCCATCTTTTGCTTTCTCATCCTTCTTTACTTCTTCAAAAAAACAACTCATGGCCGGCTCCCTAGGAACTGGCCGGTTCTCGGGATGCTCCCCTGTCTGCTCGCGGTGCTCCACCGGTGCTATGACTATATCGTTGAGATTCTTGAAATCTCTGATTTGACATTTTCATTCAAGGGACCGCTGTTCGCTAGAATGGATATGTTGCTCACCGTTGATCGTTCTAACATTCATCATTGTGAATGCAATGAATCTTGATGGTCTTCTGGACAAGATATGGGAATACTTGGATCTAACTCGAATCTACACAAAACCGAAGGCAATGAATCCGGATTATGATGATCCCGTTATCTTATCTTCCAAGAAGAGAACAGTAGAGGACTTCTGCATCCGGATTCACAAAGACATGCTTAAACAATTCAAGTAGTAAGTAATTAAAAACTTATTATTGTTCTGTCTCTCTGTTATATGGCTTCTTGCTCAAAAGCATCGCTCATGAGTAGTACTTAACTAATGATCTCCTGATGCAGCGTTCTGGTTTGGGGTTCGAGTGTGATATAAGATTGGAATCACACCAAACTTATTGATCACACGGTTTCAAGGCCTACGGCTTGAATGGATCGAAGTTCGCCACACAAAGTTGCGGAATGACTTTGTGATAAGAACACGAATCAATGTCTATGTGAATCACACACAAACTAACTATTGCTGTCATGACATCGTATTTTATGTATGGAAACACTTCAGGAACACGAGCTCGAGGATGAGGATGTTGTTCAGATCGTTAAAAAGATATGATTATTCCAGATAATGGAGAGAGCAAAGAGACCAACCAAAGTAGCCATAATGAGATCTTATTGGAAGGTTAGGATTTCTTTTGGTTTCTCAGCTTATCTTCTGTATTGTATTATTATATCCAGACGAAATCTGTGTCTGCACCCTGTTTTTTTTTTTGGTCTTATTGGATACTTTTGTCTTCTTCCAATTATATCATGTGATTGATGTTGTCGGAACCCCTCCTTATTATCTCGATTATGGGTTTTGCCTGGATTTTCTCCTCGTTTTTATGTATGGAACTAGACTAGTTTTTTAAAAAATCGATCGATTTTAGTATAAAACATAAAAATGTTCAATTTTTCTTCATGTCTATCAAAAAGAAAACTGTTAAAACGGCCTTCATTGCAGTGACCAGGTATAGGTGTTCTCTGACAGCTAGTTGTTTGTTTGTCATTAAATGTTAATTTAAAGATTATGGTTACTTCGACTGTTCATTAGATTTAATGACATTAAAAGACTTGGAAAACTATTACAACGACCGTGGCTGGGACCGTGAATTCTGATGTACTTCTCGATTTGTCTAACCTCTTAAATTGGTTGTCATTTTGTGTCTGAAATTGTAAGATTATGGACCCTTCTTTAGAAATCCTCCACCAATTCATTTGTGTGGTTAGTAGCTACACCAGCTTAACATTGTGCGGAGATAAAGGACTAATTTTAAGATATGAAATAAATGCATTGGTAACTTCTTTCTTTTCAAATAATTTTTTTTTTGGTTGCTTCTATTGTATTATGTAATCACCGTACTCTATACTTTATAAACAAGTTACTTCAACACACAAAGGAACCATCACCATATAGTGTCTGTAAAATCAAGCTCCTAACCTTCTCATATGGCTTCTATAAGCTTACTTGACGCTTCCATAGCCATTATTTGCTTTCTCTTCTTCCATTTCTTCTTCTTCAAAAAACCTCATGATCAGGTTTTTCGAAACTGGCCGGTCATTGGGATGATTCCAGGCTTCCTGATGGTACTCCACCGCATCTACAACTTCGGCGTGGAGACTCTTGAAATCAGCCACTTAACCTTTCTATTTAAGGGACCGTGGTTCGCTGGAATGGATATGTTGTTCACAGTTGATCCAGCTAATATTCACTACATCTTGAGCTCAAACTTCTCCAATTACACCAAAGGTGCCGACTTTAAAGAAGTCTTTGATGTTTTTGGAGAAATGATCTTTAGTTCGGACTCGGAGCTATGGAAGAATCAAAGAAAAGCTGCTCAGTTCATGCTTAACCATCACGAGTTTCAAAAGCTTTCAATGAGTGCAACGAGGACTAAACTTTACGACGGTCTTGTTCCTCTTTTCAATCAATATTGCGAGGAAGAGAAGGTCGTGGATTTGCAGCAAGTGTTTCAAAGGTTCACTTTTGACACAACTTTTTTTCTTGTTACGGGGTCTGATCCTAAATCTCTCTCTATTGAAATGCCGGAAGTTGAGTATGCTAAAGCTCTTGACGATCTTGGAGAAGGGATTTTTTATAGGCACATTAAACCGAAGTTCTTGTGGAAGCTGCAAAACCGGTTTGGGCTAGGACAAGAGAAGAGGATGACCGAAGCTGATGCCACTTTTGATCGCGTTTCAGCGAAATACATATCAGCTAAGAGAGAAGAGATAAGGTCACGAGCGCTTGATCATCATTCAAATGGTGAAAGTGAGGATCTTTTGACATCTCACATAAAGCTTGATACAACCAAGTACGAGCTCTTGAACCCGAGTGATGATAAGTTCCTCAGAGACACCATCTTAGCTTTCAATCTAGCTGGGAGAGACACAATGTCTTCTGCTCTCTCTTGGTTCTTTTGGCTTCTCTCTGAAAACCCTCAAGTTGTAACAAAGATTCGTAAAGAGATCATCAACAAAAATATTTCAAAAGACGGGAGAAATGGCCAAGAGAACTTAGAAAAGTTGGTCTACTTACATGCCGCGTTGTATGAATCAATGAGGCTCTATCCACCGGTTGCCTTCCAACGCAAGTCTCCTATAAAACCAGATTTGCTTCCAAGTGGGCATAAGGTAAAAGCAAACTCAGTCATCATAATCTTTCTTTACGGGTTGGGAAGGATGAGAGCGGTTTGGGGAGAAGATGCAACAGAGTTCAAGCCAGAGAGATGGGTTTCTGAGACCGGTGGGTTGAGACATGCGCCTTCCTTCAAGTTCTTATCGTTTAACGCCGGTCCGAGAACTTGTCCTGGTAAGCAATTAGCTATGACTCTAATGAAGACAGTAGTTGTGGAGATATTACAAAACTATGATATTAAGGTTATCAAAGGACAGAAGATTGAGCCAGAACCTGGTCTTATATTGCACATGAAGCATGGGCTTAAAGTCACAATTACTAAGAGATGTTCAGCTTGAAATTTATATGTATAACGCCTTAATTTATCCTTTTATCGTTGGAATAATTATAAGAAAGCCTCGTATTTTTCAATAATGATACGAAACATGCTTTTTATCTTTGATGAGATGTTATATTTTGTAAACAATGCAAGTCGTTGTGGTAATAAAAATGTTTAATTATATGTATGTGAATCCACTCTACTGGCTTCAATAAGCTTAATTACCTTAATTAGATGATAAAGTTAGAAACGGGAAAAAATGACAATTTTGAAAATACTAGAAAAGTTAGGTGTATAGATAATTTATTACTATTTTCTAATCTTATGTATACATTAACTGTGCCTTGCAATGTGTGCATATAACAAAATCTAGTGTATTTTAAGCAAAAATCCTTAATTGTTGTGCCTTGAAGTGTGTGATATAAATTCAGTTCCTTCTGCTAGTAAAGTACTAACCATCACAATGTATGTGTGTGTGTTAATCAAGCGCCTTACTCCAATGGCTTCAATAAGCTTTCTTGAAGCTTCCATAGCCATCTTTTGCTTTCTCATCCTTCTTTACTTCTTCAAAAAAACAACTCATGGCCGGCTCCCTAGGAACTGGCCGGTTCTCGGGATGCTCCCCTGTCTGCTCGCGGTGCTCCACCGGTGCTATGACTATATCGTTGAGATTCTTGAAATCTCTGATTTGACATTTTCATTCAAGGGACCGCTGTTCGCTGGAATGGATATGTTGCTCACGGTTGATCCAGCTAACATTCATCATATAATGAACTCAAACTTCTCAAATTACATCAAAGGATCTGATTTCAAAGAAGTTTTTGATGTGTTCGGAGACGGAATTATCACCACGGACTCTGAGCTATGGAAGAATCTGAGGAAGTTTTATCAAGCCATGCTCCATCATCAAGCGTTTCAAAAGTTTTCATTGAGTACCACAACAAGTAAACTCAAGAACGGGCTTGTTCCTCTTCTTAATCATTTTGCAGAGGAAGGAACAATTGTGGATTTGCAAGATGTACTCGGAAGGTTCACTTTCGATACAATCTTAATCCTTATAACCGGTTCTGATCCTAGATCTCTCTCCATTGAAATGCATGAGGATGAATTAGCTAAAGCTCTCGACGATGTTGGAGAAGGGATTTTGTTTAGGCATGTTAAACCAAAATTCTTGTGGAAGCTGCAAAAATGGATGGGATTGGGACACGAGAAGAAGATGATTGAAGCTAATGCTATTTTTGACCGTGTTTGCGCGAAATACATATCAGATAAGAGAGAAGAGATTATCAGATCACAAAGGTTTAATGATATTTCCTATGAAGAAAGTGAGGATCTTTTATCTTCTTTCATTAAGCTAGATACAACCAAGTACAATCTCTTGAATCCGAGTGACGATAGGTTCCTCAGAGACACTATTATGGCTTTCATTCTAGCGGGAAGAGATACAACTGCCTCTGCTCTCACTTGGTTCTTCTGGCTTCTCTCTGAAAGCCCTCAAGTGGTGACCAAGATTCGCCAAGAGATCATCAGCACAAATCTATCAAAGACCAGAAATGGCCAAGAGAATTTAGACAAGTTGGTGTATTTACATGGTGCGTTGTGTGAAGCAATGAGACTCTATCCACCAGTTTCCTTTGGGCGCAAGTCTTCTATCAAATCAGATGTGCTTCCAAGTGGCCATAAAGTCGGAGAAAACTCTAAGATTATTATTTGCCTTTATGCGTTGGGGAGGATGAGAGCGGTTTGGGGAGATGACGCATTGGAATTCAAGCCAGAGAGATGGGTTTCTGAGAAGGGAAGCTTAAGACATGAGCCCTCCTTCAAGTTCTTATCGTTTAATTCCGGTCCAAGAACTTGTCTAGGTAAACATTTAGCTATGAATCAAATGAAGATGATGGCCGTGGAGATATTACAACACTATGACATTAAGGTTATTAAAGGACAAAAGATTGAGCCAGTTCTTGGTTTTATATTGTCCATGAAGCATGGACTTAGGATCACAATTACTAAAAGATGTCCATCTTGAAATTATATGAATAAATCTTTGTCTAGTTGTAATGTATGAATATAAAAACATAACGAAATTTGAAATTTTATTTTATTGAATTGAACTTATTTTTCCTCACCCTTAGGGAGCATAAAGAAAGCATCTACTGAAAAAACAATCAAACCAAACATCTCTTAGTAACTGTGACTTTAAGACCATGCTTCATGTGGAGAATGACAGAAGGAGCTGGCTCGATTTGTTGCCCTTCAACGATCTTCATCTCATAATTCTGTATGATTTTCACAGCCACACTCTTCATTTGCATCATAGCCACTTCTTTCCCCAAACAAGTTCTTGGACCGGCGTTAAACGATAAGAACTTATAAGATGGCTCGTGTACCGAATTCCCACTCTCAGAAATCCATCTTTCCGGTTTGAATTCCAATGCATCTTCTCCCCAAACCGATTTCATTCTCCCTAATGAGTAAAGACAGAACAAAATCTTCGAGTTGGCGTCGACTTTGTGTCCACTTGGAAGAACGTCTGGTTTTGTAGGAGACTTGTGCTGAAAGGGAACAGGTGGATAGAGTCTGAGGGCTTCACATATCGCGCCGTGTAGATACACCAACTTCTTTAACTCTTGGGGATTGAATGATTCAGAGTCATTCTTGTCAGAAGCATCAGTATTAACCTTGCTTCTTTGAAACAGATTTGTGTTGATTTCTTGACGAATCTTGGCAATGACTTCTGGGGTCTTAATCAGAAGCCAGAAGAACCAAGTGAGTCCAGATCCTGTCGTGTCTCGACCCGCTAACATGAAGGTCAAGATTGTGTCTCTGAGGAATCTTTCATCACTTGGATTCAGCAACTTGTACTTGGTCGTATCCAAATTCATGTAAGACGTCAGCAAATCTTTAGAATGAGAATCAACATTGTTAGTCCCACGGCTTACCTCATCTCTTTTTGTAGCTATGTACTTGGAGCAAACACGATCTAAAGTCGCGCGAGCTTTCGTCATCTTCTTCTCATCTCCTAACCCAAGCAAGCCTTGCAGCCTCCACAAGATCTCTGGTTTGATATGTCTGAAGAAAATGGCTTCCTCTGCATCGTCTAAAGCTCTTGCAAACTCGACTTCCGGCATTTCGACGGAGAGACAACCTGGATCATACCCGGTCGCTAAAACAAACGTGGTGTCGAACGTGAATCTTTGGAACATGTCTTGTAAGTCCACAACGAGTTTCTCTTTAGCAACATGGTCAAGAAGTGGGACAAGCCCTTTCTCTAGCTTATTCGAGCTTGTAGCTAATGAAAACTTTTGAAACTCGGGATTCATCATCATGCTTTGAGCTGATTTCCTCAGATCCTTCCACAACTCCGAATCTGCATTGAAAATCCCATCTCCCAAAATGTCGAATAGCTTCTTGAATTCAGGTCCTTTCGGGTAGTTTGCGAAGTTTGAGCTCATTATGTGGTGGATATTAGCAGGATCAACCGTGACCAACATGTCGAGGTTTGCGAAACACGGGCCTATGCAAGGATAGGTTAGGTTTGTGACCTCCAGAATCTCGGTTATAAAGTCGTAAACACGATGGATCTCGACGAGCAAACCTGGAATCATACCAAGAAATGGCCAATTTGTGGGGCACAAACGGTGAGGTTTCTTGTTGATCAAGAAATATCGGAAGAGGAGAAAACAAAAGAAAGCAATGGAGATTTCAAACAAGCTTATCAAAGCCATTAGAGATAAAATAAAAATGTATTTTTCTTCTTTTGAGATACACCAAATTGCAGCTTGTTGATGATACTTGATTTTGCTCTAATGTTGGATATATAAAGCATTTCCTCTGTGCGTCTTTGAGATATCGGTGATGTGTCTCTATCCTCTGAATAATTATAATTTGGAATAAGATCTTACTTTCCTTGGGATTATGTCCTCTTTTGTTTGTTTGGTATTGTAGCTTTGTAACGAGTCTAAACATCCGTTGGAAACCAATGCATGTGACATTTTATTACCTAATCAGTTATTTATCTTGTTACCTTATCTTTGATAGAGATTCCAAATAATCATGATACCTCTAAAATATCTGTAAGAATTTGTTTTGTTTGGAAGAAACAAAAATGCTACTATAATAGTTATATTCTTTTAATCTGGCTATTATGGATATATATGATTAGTTACTTTAAAAGGTCAATAAATTTGTCTAAATCGTATGCATGTACTGTATATCGTTTAAGATTATTCTTTTATAGAACACAATCAAATTTTATTAATCTAACGATATTATTAATTGAGACAAATATCTCTTCTTATACTACTTTTCAGATTTTTTGGAATCTACAATAAATTGGTTAAATGCATGCCATTGACTAATATATATTTATAAAATATATCATAACAAATGAAGATTTTATAACTGTCATACCAAAAAAAAAGAAAATGAACATTCAGATAAGATGTCATTAGTCAGCTTTTCTTATCTTTCTAAAATTTTCAACATGATCTATAAAACGTGCAATAAACATTTTCGGGTAATTTGTATTATATATATAACTTTAATTATAGGATTTAATTTCTTACCAACATTTCTATACTTGAGTTTTAGAAATTATTTTTAACAATTATATTTTATTGGATGACTTTCAAGATGACCTGAGATTTCCTCATATCATAAAAATCATCTACATCAACAGCCACAGTTTCTACTTTATAGTTAAAACATTCAAGACCAACATCTTTTAGAGACTGTGACTTTAAGACCATGCTTCATGTGGAGAATAACCGAAGGAGCTGGCTTGATCTTGTGCCCTTCAACGACATTAATCTCATAGTTTTGTATGATTTTCACAGCCACTGTCTTCATTTGCGTCATAGCCACTTCTTTCCCCAAACAAGTTCTTGGACCTGCGTTAAATGATAAGAACTTATAAGATGGCTCGTGTACCGATCTTCCACTCTCAGAAATCCATCTCTCCGGTTTAAAATCCAATGCATCTTCTCCCCAAACCGATTTCATTCTCCCTAATGAGTAAAGACAGAACAAAATCCTCGAATTAGCCTTGACTTTGTGGCCGCTTGGAAGCACGTCGGGTTTAGTAGGAGACTTGTGGTTAAAGGGAACAGGTGGATAGAGCCTGAGGGCTTCACAAATTGCGCCGTGTAAATACACCAACTTCTTTATCTCTTGGGGATTGAATGAATCAGAATCATAAGAAACAGAACCGTCAGTCTTGTTTCTTGGAAATAGGTTTGTGTTGACTTCTTCACGAATCTTGGCCATGGCTTCTTCGTTTTTGCATAGAAGCCAGAAGAACCAAGTGAGCGCTGAGCCTGTCGTGTCTCTACCAGCTAACATGAAGGACAAGATTGTGTCTCTAAGGAATCTGTCATCACTTGGATTCAACAACTTGTACTTCGTCGTGTCAACATTTATAGAAGACATCAACAAATCTTTAGAAGAAGAAGAATCACTCCCTCGGCTGATCTCTTCTCTCTTAGAAGCTATGCACTCAGAGCAAACACGATCCAAAATCGCGTGAGCTCTTTTCAGCTTCAACTCATCTCCAACCCCAATCCATCTTTGCATCTTCCACACCACCTCCGGCTTGAAATGTCTGTAGAAAATGGCTTCCTCTGCATCGTCTAAAGCTCTTGCAAACTCGATTTCCGGCATTTCAACCGAGAGACAACCTGGATCATACCCGGTTGCTAAAACAAACGTAGTGTCAAACGTAAATCTTTGGAAAACATCTTGTAAGTCCACGACGAGTTTCTCTTTAGTAGCATGATCAAGAAGTGGCACAAGCCCTTTCTCTAGCTTACTCAAGCTTGTAGCTAATGAAAACCTTTGAAAATCGGGATGATTCATCATGCTTTGAGAAGATTTCCTTAGATCCTTCCACAACTCTGAATCCGCGTTGAAAATCCCATCTCCCAAAACGTCAAATAACTTCTTGAATTCGGTTCCTTTCGGGTAATTCGCAAAGTTTGAGCTCATGATGTGGTGGATATTAGCAGAATCAACGGTGAACAACATGTCAATGCCCCCCATAAAAGGGCCTTTGAAAAGATAGTTTAAGTTACCCTCCTCAAGAACCTCAGTTATAAAGTCATAAACACGAGGGAGCTGGGGAAGTAAACCCGGAAGCATACCGAGGAGCGGCCAGTTTGTGAGAAAGGAACGGTGCGGTTTCTTACTGATCAAGAAAATTTGAAAGATAAGGAAACAAAAGAAAGCAATGGAGATTTCAAGTAAGCTGACCAAAGCCATTAGGGAGAAATTTAGGAGATTACACTAAGGCAAAGCTTGATTCTTATCTATGTTTTCATTCATACACTAAGGAGATATATATGAATATAACAAATTAGAAAGCGTCATATTATGTGTCCTAGATATTGGTTATTTGTCTTTGTCGTTTCAATAATTATAACATGAGGGATCGGACCTTATCTTTGATGAGTATGTCCTCTTTTTGTTTGTTTGGTATTGTAGCTCTGTGGGAAGTCAAAACCTCTTTTGAAAACAATGGTCCACTGCATGCGACATATTACAATAATTAGTTATTTGTCCCAATAGAAGACAATTGTCCAGCTCCAAAAAAACTTTTTGAAGAAAGTAAATAGTACATTAGTTTAATTTTAATGGGCCAGTATATATTCTTAATATACTGTGTATTCTTTTATGAAAAATAATAATTAAGTTACTTTTAAAAGTTCAGACTTTAAGGAAATCATTATGGTTTATCACATTTTGAAGGGAATTTGCAGTAGATGTAAATTAATGCTATACGTTTATATTTAAGACAATAGCAAAAGTATTTTCAGTCCAAAATAAGTTGAAACGAGTTTTTGACTAATCTAGTTATTGAATGTTTTAATCATTTGCTTCTAGACCATCTACAAATATAGTAACTGATTTCGACGCATCACATCTCGATTTTCTATATATACGAGAAGCCCAAAAAAAAAAGGTTAGTTAGCTTTAACGGAAAATAGTGTATATAATGTCATTTTCTTATATTAATAGGTTTCACATATGTACTTCTTGTTACCATTAGAACTCATGAATCTGTATCTTTCGTATTAATTGATCTAAAAGGCAATAATAATTGAACACTCGGGATTTTGTGGCTGGTGGCGTTTGATACAGACATTTGTGATGTCTTTTGTACAGTACCTACCTTTGGGTTCTTGTCTACTTTGGCACATTCAGGTTCCATGGTCCTTGGATAATGGGTTTTCTTATCTACTTTGGCACGTATGCGGGAAAACGGCCAAAATCAACCCAAACTATTCTCATGCGGGTTTTTTCAACCCAAACTCAGATCCCCTGCATTTATCAACCCAAACTCACAACAAATTCAAATTGCAAACCTGAACTAATAGATGTTATGCAAAAACATAAATTGACTTTGACGGTGTCAGTCAACCGTCAAAAAATTAAATTAACAGTGGCGTCCTAATCATCAGTAAAAAACCCGCGTGGAAATAGTTTGGGTTGATTTTGGCCGATTTCCCGGCACGTATGCATACGTTTTCCCCCCTAAAAGATCTATAATGGGAGGCTAATGGGCTTAGGCCCTTTTTGGCCCAAATACAAAAACAAAATGTCAATTCTTCAGGAATATTATTAGAGGCCCTCGCAAAAGGGGTTTAAGACGCAAAATGTGTTCGATCGGAGTACTTGCTCTCTGTTCGCCGGCTAAATTTCATCATCGCCGGGAACAATTGCTGATTTTTACTCCGACCCATTTGCGTAATCCTAATGGGTTTCAATTTCGGTGGAGAAAGTCCCGACCTTTCGCTTCCAGACTCGCCCAATCCGTCAATTTCGCTCCGTCCTTTTCACAACTCCCTCTTATACGCTCTTCGACGTCTCTTCTTTCTTCCAAGGATTTCGTTCAGATTCTGGCGAGAAAAGCCGCCATTTTACTTGTTGGGTCGTTTGTCTTTCTAGGGTTCTGTTCTTCGAAACCTGCTTTAGCGTTACCCACTGCAACTGTCGTCTCTCAGGCAGAGTTAGAGGACGAGAAAATGTTCGAGAAGCTTCTGGAAAGTGAGCCAGAGAACATGGAGGCTATGAAAGCTGTTGTGTATAAGAAGATGAGGAGAGGGAAGAATGAAGATGCTGTGAAATATGTTGAGAAGCTGATGAAATTAGAGCCTCATGAAGTTGAATGGAAGCTTTTAGAAGCGCTTTGTTATGAAACGATGGGACAACTGAGCAAAGCCAAGAGATTTTATAAGGATATTCTCAAAGAACAACCTCTTTTGATCAGAGCTTTGCACGTATGTGTTTTCTCTAGGACTAGAGTCTTTTTATGAAACTGTGAATAATTGGATGTTTAGGAGAAATGGTGTTTTCTTTTGTTGGTAGGTAATAGAATGGTGCCTTGATTTTGATATTGCAGTATTCATTGTTGGTCTTGTCTTGTTTCTGGCAGGGTCTTGCTATGGTAATGCATAAGACTCATGACACCTCTGTCTTTGATATGCTCATGGAAGCTATGGAAGTTGCTCGACAAGGGAACAGAGTAACCGAGGAGAGAAACATACAAGTCTTGATTGGTCAAATGCATATTGTGCAGGTAAAAGGCGTAAAACTGATCCTTAATTTCCTTCTTGTGTGTTTTGGTCCTTCTGAACTATCTTTTAAGTATGCATAGGAACAATGGATTGTTATATATACTTATGGTTGTGGACATTGGTTTAAAACATCAGGGTCAATTTGAAGAAGGTCTAAAGATATTTCAACAGATGGTAAATGATAACCCTCGAGATTTTCGACCTTATCTTTGCCAGGTAAAGTTTATATATGAAAAGAATGATCTTTGATTCCCTAAAGTCATATCTCAGTTACCAAGTAAAAGGAATTTAGCTTTATCTTCTGCTATTCCGCTTGAAAGAAATTGCTGGTATTTGTTTCAGGGCATAGTGTATAGCTTAATGGATAAAAAAGAGGAAGCAGCTCAACAGTTTGAGAACTATTGGAGTCTTGTACCTGAAGAATTCCCACAAAAGGGATTTCTCGACGATGTTGCCTTGGCTGCTCAAGCCAAATCCCGAGAACGACTTCAAAACACATTCAAAGCTAAATTTACTCAGGGGAAATAAATCATGGATAGACATAAAATCGATATCCAGGTGAGTAATTTCATCTTACTTGATGCTTCATCATCAGTTGGAAGTTTTCCTCTTGAGTTTGCAGTGCTGCCACTCATGTAATCACATTATGGTCATGTTGCAGCTACATGACATATGGTTATAAAGATCAGATATGAAATGTTAACAACCTGTGTCAGGTTAAAGAATAAACCGCTTTCGAGCAGGCAGTGTTTGTGGCTGCATTTAGAACCGAGTAGAAGACGGTTTTTTTTTTTTTTTGCAGTCATGTCAGTGATTTCTTTAAAGATACATAATCAGACATGAAAGGTTACGACTTCCTTGTCATTCGTAGGAATAATATAGAACTGTTTCAATTTGGATATTTTTCAAGTGTCTATTGGTCGTACCATTGTTGATACATTTCTGATTTCTGATTGCACTAGATTCCCTAATTCTGGAGTGTTCTTTGCAGAAAAAAAGAAAACAACAATTGAATTTTTAGTACTATTTTGTTTGTTCATAAACTGAGGTAATTTGACGATTTAGTTATTGATTTACAATTATTCTTTTTTTATATATTATTTGTTGGCAGAGCCGGAGATGCTATTTTTTAATTATTATGACGTGTAATTTGATAAAAGTATATTGTCTTATTACATCGACCAACTAAAAGTATCTAATAAAATAATTATCTTCCTAGTTCTAATTTCTTACCACGTTTTCTATGCAATCTACCTACTAACATTGACAAACTATACACGATCTCTACCTTATTAGACTCCAGAAGTATATTTTTTTTTTCTAGCTCCATAACTCAGAATAAATTTCCCATTTTTATAAAAAGGTTTGGTTCCTTTTAGGTTATAATTAACGTATTCATTTATTTACACTAGAAATTGATGACGGGCTTTCTATAGGGCTAGTGGGTAGTTAGAGGCCCATTTGGATTAAGACATAACTCTGTAAATAGAAGAAGAGGAAGCTTCTTCTAATCCCCTTGCGGAGAAACTTTGGGAAGAGCCAAAAAAACTCGGGACTCTCTCTCTCTCTATCTCTCTCTATCTCTCTCTGGCTTACACTTCGCGCTTCTCTTACTGTAATCTCTCTAATGCCACCGTTACTACATTTATGAGCTTTTGTCTGTATGTATGATGTTTTGTATAGTTGTTCTTCACTTGTTTGGTTGCGATTTCTTTTTTTTTTTTTTGGTGAATTTTGCGTTTCGCTGTAAAGAAGGATAATGAGTGAAGTTGATTTGGTGAAATTAGGCTCATGGCTCCTCTTACTCTCTCTGTTGATGTGAAGAGCTCTTCAGCGACTTCTCCTGGTAAATTCTCTTTATCTGTCTTCATTATTGACTCTGTGACTTCTTTTCTTCAATTCTTTTGCGTATTGGTTTCGTGGTTTCGATACAAAAAGAGATGTCTTTGTTGGGATCTTTATATATATATACTCCATTGATGATGGAGATAAATGTTCTGTTTTTGCAGATGTTTCCAAGAGGGTAATGCAGAGTCCACAGCTCAAAATGAGCAAAGGATTTTTTGCATCTGCTAATACGCAAGAAGATAAACCCTTTGATTTCTTCCGCACTCTCTTTGGTTTGTATATATTTTGCCTTTTGATTCATTTCCAATTTTTGTTTTGAATGGGCAGCTTCAGGTGTCTTTAGTCTTAGTTATTCTTATGTTTTGGTTTTGATGATGCAGAGGGATTTATAGCAGGAGGTACAGCTGGAGTTGTAGTTGAAACAGCTTTATACCCAATTGATACTATTAAGACTAGACTTCAGGCAGGTCAAGGAACTTACAACTATTTATTTCTTTGTTAGACATTCTTTTAACTGTATGCAATTAGCTCCTGTAGTCCTTTGGTTTGAACGAAACAAAAAAACTAGTTTGATCTTATGATGTAGGCAGCTCGTGGAGGTGGGAAAATTGTTTTGAAGGGTCTTTATTCAGGATTAGCTGGAAATATCGCTGGTGTCTTACCGTAAGTGACTGTGATCTCACAGAGCTCATCCGTATTGTTAATTCAGAGTCTAAATGGCGAGAGCCCTAAGAAAATAGATACTACTGACAAAGTTATTTCCTTGTCCCTTCTATTTCTTCTATTTTTATACTTGGTTCCTTCTTTGTAGGGCGTCGGCTTTATTTGTTGGAGTTTATGAACCCACAAAGCAGAAACTGCTAAAGACCTTCCCTGATCATTTAAGCGCAGTTGCTCACCTGGTGAGAAATTTTCTCAATCTTTAGTTTGGCCATGGAAAAAGTAGTTTATTAGTCTCTGCTATCACTAAATGATCAGGTCGTGATTATGTCAGTAAACGAATGGTATAAAATAAGCAACAATATTGTTTTTAGATCTTTGAATTGTTTCTCGCATATTCCTTGAATTCAAGGGTGAAAAGGAACAATTTGTTTCAAATTGCAGACAGCAGGGGCCATCGGTGGACTTGCTGCCTCTCTGATTCGAGTGCCTACAGAGGTAAATGAGAACGCTTTCTTGTATATCACAATCCAGACCATGTTCTACTTACGATCCCTTGATCGACATTTCTGTGTGCGTATTCTTTAGGTTGTGAAGCAGAGAATGCAGACCGGACAGTTTACATCAGCCCCCAATGCTGTTCGACTTATTGCATCAAAAGAGGGATTTAAGGGTCTCTATGCAGTTAGTAACATCTTTTTTAGCTCTTTCTTTAAGTCTGCACTTTTTTGTTGAAATTTCATGTGGTAACTTATTTCATTTGCTTCTAGGGATATCGGTCCTTCCTTTTGCGAGATTTGCCGTTTGATGCTATACAGTTCTGCATATATGAGCAGCTATGCTTGGGGTATAAAAAAGCAGTAAGTCTCTTTGTAAAATAATTGACATTTCTTCTATCTGTAATATCTTGAATAAGGTATCGAAAAAAAAAAACGCATGGTAACTTCTGATGTACTGATATTTTGCATGAGATTAACTTTGGTCAACTCTTTGGCAGGCGCGTAGAGACCTTAGTGATCCTGAGAACGCTCTAATCGGTGCCTTTGCTGGTTGGTGACATACCTTACATGCTTTAATAGGATATTGATATTCTTCGGATCCATAAAATCATACCTGATGAGATTTAAGCCGCTGAACTTTAAAAAAGATTCTGGTCTTCATTTACCTTAACATTACACAGTACAATGGAGTTATTACATCGAAAACCAGTTATCGTAGATGTATCTGGCATTAGTTAATGAGCGGTGCTTTGATATCGTCGTTGTTTATGCAGGTGCTCTGACCGGAGCAGTCACCACTCCGCTTGATGTTATTAAGACAAGATTAATGGTTCAGGTAACAACAGTATTCTCACACTTTAGAAGTCTCCCTTTGTATCTCCAAAATCCAATCATCTAATTGTTCTTCTTTGACCTTTTTCAGGGATCAGCCAAACAATATCAAGGAATCGTTGACTGTGTTCAAACAATTGTAAGGGAGGAAGGAGCTCCTGCTCTCTTAAAGGTGCACACACACACAACTTCAAAGTTTCGAGTAGAATCATTTAGAAAGTCAATTGTAAACTGAGCAGCTTTAAGAGTAGAGTTCTTACACGAGATTTGACTTGTAGGGTATTGGGCCAAGAGTGTTGTGGATAGGTATTGGAGGTTCAATCTTCTTTGGTGTCCTCGAGAGCACTAAGAGAACACTTGCACAGAGACGTCCCAATACGGTTAAAGAAACCAAAGAGGAATAAGTTTCTGGCCGAACAAGAAAATGAGTGAAAGGTGATAATGTTTCACATTCAACCCCCTTTGTGAGTTCTACCAATGTGTTTGTTTAAGTACCAATGACCAATTCAACTTTCATTAAATAAAAATAGTGTTCATTTCAGATTATATCATTTCTTGATTATATTTGACATTTGAAATTAGTTTTTAAAAAAATAAAATTTGGTGACTGTTACGGTGATGCTATTCGGCTCTGCAGTTTCTGTGGTAAATATGATAACATGATCATATCCTTTATTTTTACTTTCATCATCTCTGTTGGGCACAACTGTTCCAATAATGTAGTTTTTTTTTATCGATAAAGAAACCATATCGTTTTGAATCTTTTAATTAGAAAATAAGTTTTGATCGATAAAGAAACCATATCGTTTTGAATCTTTTTAATTAGAAAATAGCATTTTCTAATTACGCCCACCCGCACCCATGGCGCGTGAACTCCACCGCATCAAAATCTCTGGACTATAATCAGCGGTTTTTGGATTTTTTCAAATTTTTGAGAAAGAAAGCGCGTGAGGAGCTTATGTGACGGGGACCGTCGGTGCTTTCTTCGTTTTGTCTATTTTGTTTAAGAAATCCAGATGATCAATTAGAAACTCCTCCCGATCAAATTACAAATGACATTTAAACTTAAACATATTGCACGTCTGACTCTGTTAAACTTAAACATGAAATATATTCATTGGAAGCAAATCAACAAACAATAAAGCTTACAAAACTGTTCAACAATGCAATTCTATTTATAACAACTTATACCGAAAACAGTTATTACACTGTACACTGTATTCTCTCTCTCTCTCTATCTCTCTGTATCTCTCAAGACTGCCATTTCATAATAGCCGGGACAAAAAATTACAAGGAGAAAAAAAAAATAGAAGAATTGTGAGAGCCAACAACAAAACACAGACAAATACTAAACCCTATAAAAAAGACTCAAGTTTGTGTCTCTTCCACAACACCAAAAATATATCAATCGAAAACCCATTTTCCAATTGCTTCGGCTAATTTACAGCCCCATCGACCTCTCACAACGATGAAGCAGAGAGAGAGAGATACTTAACATTGCATACTTTGAGATGATCTCTGAGTTCACTCACTCACATGAGTGGTAAGTATCCTCCTCCATGTCCTTTCTTTAGTACAAGAGGTCCAGCATTTTCCGGGACCTTATCCAACGCATTCATACACCCATCTACCATGTCAGCGAATCCCGTTGCTGTTGTAGCAAGCTGTAACCGTAACCTCAAATCCCGTGTTCTCTTCAACAAACACCTGAATGATCTCCACATGTATTTGGCCCACTCAGCTGGTAAGCCTCCTCCTGTGAGCCAGACTGAGAACTGAGACTGGTCTCCCCTAGCTGCCATTTCCGCTCTGTAAAATCTAGCCAGTTCCAGAAGCATTGAAGCCTGTAGGGGAAGCA